AATTAAGCTACAAAAGAATTCTTGAAAATTCTAAATAGCTGTCATATGGAATATGTTTCCTGACCAGAATGTGATAAAATTAGAATCTTGTAACAAAAGGATAACAACATAAAGCTACATATGTCTGGAAATTAAAATATATCATTAAGTCATTCTTGTATTAAAGAGGAAATCCCAAGAGAAATTATTTCTAAAGGACATTCTAAATGTAAATAATGACATTCTAAATGTAAAAAAATTGTAAAATGTAGCTAAAGTCAATATTTAGAAAAAGTATAGCCTTAAATGTTTTTATCAGAATGTAAGAATTATCAAAAATAAATGTACTAAGTGCAACTGATCAATACTAAAATAGGAGAGGAGGAAAAGATTAAGATACTACTAGGAAATAAGTATTTTTTAACTTAAAAAAGGTTAGAAAGACAGACAAAAATTCTTGAAAATAAGAAAAAATATTCAAATAAAGAAATAAAGAAACAAGAATAATTATAGATAGTAAAGACTTCAGTATTTAAAAAGTAGATTATAAAAATGTTAGAAAATATGAGTGCTTAGAGGAAATATATAACTTCTTGAGAAATGCAAAATACCAAAACTGGCCCAAGAAAAACTTAAAAACTTGAAAAGAGTAATGGCTTTATAAAAGGTTTTTAAAATCTTCCTCCACAAAGGCACAGATGGTTTTATAGCTGAGTAATAATAAACTTCTAGGGAACAGAAATTTCTCTTTTATGCAAGTCATTAAGTCTCTCTTAAAGAAGTCATTTCTGAAAATAGAAAAATAGAGAAAACTTCTTAACTTATATTGAAGCTAATGTAACCTTTGTGGCAGCTTTTGATTAATCTACTCTAGGGATCCCTGGGTGGTGCAGCGGTTTGGCGCCTGCCTTTGGCCCAGGGCGCGATCCTGGAGACCTGGGATCGAATCCCACATCGGGCTCCCGGTGCGTGGAGCCTGCTTCTCCCTCCGCCTGTGTCTCTGCCTCTCTCTCTCTCTCTCTTTGACTATCATAAGTAAATAAAAATTAAAAAAAAAATAATCTACTCTAGTTAGATTTTCTGTTACTTATAGGTGGATGCTTATGTAACTAATAGAGGGGACACGACTCTAAAATTTTAGAGAGAGTCAGAAAAGAAGACTCGAATTAAACAGATACATTCCATAAACTTGGATTAAGAGTCAATGGGATAAAAATGCAGCTCTCTGCAAGCTAACTTAGTAGTTTAATGTAATTACAACAAAAATGCAAAGAAGTTTTTCCAAGGGAATTAATAAAGTGATTCAAACGTTTTCTTGAATAGGTTGAACACTACAGGAATTTTTGAAGAGTTAGATGAATCTGATTTATTCCATTACTGTTTAATATGTATTCTAACAGCATTGCACTAAACAATGAGAAAAAAGAACAGAATATAAAGGCCACAAGCAGTCCAGAGTGTAAAGGCACCAATTCTGTAGATAATAATGTTGGTCTTCCAAGCAGAGGGAAATGCAGGAATGAGCTTTTAATAAAAGTGCTAGCTATCTTGTCAACTACTCAGGGAAATTCAATTAGGTACCTGTCTTGAATTATACAACTTCCAGTAGATGCCTTATGCCATTCGTTTGCCAAATATTTAACCACTATCTGTCAAGAACTATGAGAAAACAGGATATAAAAGTGAGCAAAAACAGAGGAGCTGAGAGGCTGGTGAGAAGATAGGTAATAGGCCCAAAGTAGGACTTACTGAGATAATGTCAATTTAATGTGCTCTATTCAGAGTACAACATGTACTGCTGCCTGATACAATGCAATCAAGAGAACCTTCTGTGATAGGAGACATTGTCAGACTCCAATACACATGACTCTCTATTTCCACCCCACATTTTGTGCATAATCTTATGAAAAGTATCTAGTAATGTAAGTATTTGGGCATTTATGTTAATGACATAAAGAAATTTAAAACTGTGATCGTGACAGTGTACACAACACAAATGCTGAGACAGAGTATGCCACACTGATACTCAGTGGCAATCTCCTGAAGAAAAATGACTATGTTAATCTGTTAAATATGTAACAAAAAGAGAACAGAAGAATTAGAAGTGAAATAATGTGAGATTTGCTTGATCTTGAGGTGATAATGAACCTTCAATTCTTAAAAACCAAAATTAAAAGAAAACTACAGATTTGGTTACTCAGGCTAAAAATGAATCCACTCTGTTAGATAGGATATGTCCAGATCATGCAGTGGCCCACACCAAGTCAGCAATCATTTTCTGTAAAAAGCCAGATAGCAAATAATTTAGGATTTGCAGGTCACATGGTCTCTGTGCAACTACTTAATTTGGCTATTGTAGCATGACCACCATAACACACACACACACACACACACACACACACACACATAATAAATAGATGTCTGTGGCAGTGTTGAATACAACTTTGTTTACAACCAAAGGCAGTGAGCTGGATGCAGCCAATAGGTCACTTTGCCGACCCCTGGGTCTAGACCATGCAGTTGTCAACACAATGGAGTACACCTCAAACAATATTTACAGAGCCTGGAGTCCTTTTCTCAATTCAGAAGATGGAGAATATAACCTTCCATATACTATTTCTGCTTTTTATACTCTTTGGCTTCCATAAAAGAATGTGGACCCCACTTCCAGCTCAATTATCTATCAAAAAGTAGGGCCACACTCACCTGGCAACATGGATAAGCTATATTAAAGGCTTTTGCCCAGATATACAACTTTGACTTCATTGCCTCAAAGCTGGATTGAGAGTTAACAACATTCAAAGGAAGACTTTTTTTAAAGTCCATCTCCTCCCCTAGATAATCTGTATTCATGGGCCAAATCAGAGCTGTAGAAAAACAGGTCCCTATATTATCTCTTCCTCCCACTCAGCCACTTTCAGCAGAACTTTCTCTGCACTGCTCTTGGGTTTGAAGGTATCAGTTCATGCAGAAAGCCTTTATAAGAACTAGCCCTAAGATAAGCATTGCTACTCCTACTGTAACAGAATTCTGAGTTTTGTGATCATTATAGAATAGAGTACTTCATTTGTCCCCAAGATGTTTGTATCTGATTTAGAACTAGCAATAGTCATAAATCATCTGGAAAACCCATGTATTTGCCTCAAGGACTCTGTGAACTACATACAAATAAAAATGGTTCAACCTGACAAATAATATTTGGCGGGAGAGAAATGGGCACTTCAACACACTGAATGGCATAAATAAATTTCTCTATTGCCAAGAAAAGCCATTCTGGTGGCAACTTGGCATTAAGTACCACAAGTCCCCAGAATACTAATATTCTTTGATCTAGTAATTTCACTGTGAGAAATTATCTTAAGGATAGGCACACAAATATCTATTGCAGTGTAACTTTTAATAATGATAATATTTTAAAACCTGGGAACAAAGGAAATGTTCCAAGACAAAAAATTAAGTAGATCAACGATAAGAGATCTATAGGGTGAATAAACATCACTTATGGAAGAACATTTAATGACTTGAGAAAATCCTCAGACACAACTATACATATCAAGGTATCAAGAGTAGGAAATTAACCTATCATTTATTGTATAATCCCAAATACAAAATTAGGATCATGAATGGGTTTTTTTTTGGCATTTATACAAATATGCATTTTCTAAAATTCTATAATAAATCTAATTTTTTTTCAATAAAAATTAACATTTTAAAAGTACATTCACTTTGATACTGGTCTCACAAGTATAAATTCATCATAAGGAATTAAAAAGGTAAGTCAATATATTATGCATGGTAGATATAACATCAGAACATATAAAACTAACCTATTTATGACACATCAAAATCAGAAATTATAAAAGAAAATTAGAAATAAAATCAGAAATCATACATTTACAATTGTCAACCTTGTTTTTCATGTATAAGAGAACTTTTTCTTCCAAATGGTCAAGTCCCTAACAGGCCGGAAACCACAGAGCAGTGGTTTTATTAGGGCTTCAGTGCCTTAGGGTTTTTTCAGGGAGGCTGTAAATAATGACATCCTTGCCTTGACAATGGAAGATATTTCCTAAAACAATGAAGAATAAACTGTTTGGGGGCCTATTCATAACTGTTTCTGTTTTACAAGTTGGGAGTTCTGAGTGGTTCATTTGGAAGAACTGATGTGGCTATCTGAATCTATCTGCCCTTTTCGGACCCACTCTTGGTCGCTTTTCTAACAGTGGCTACCTCGGAGACTGACTTCTTCAGATCCCTGCCTGGGTTTGGCTGAGTGGAGGCATTCGCAGGAGGAGAGAAGGGGCTTGAGTGTGTGTATCCTCCTTGTCCCCAAGACGTAGTTTTTAGCAGTGGCTGCATCTAATAAAGATCCTGTTCTTGGGAAAAAAACAAAACAAAACAAAAAAAAAAGGACTCTCTTTTCCTCTTTACCCATGAAAGCCTTCTTTTGGGAGGAAGTTGGATGAAGTTCCTGCTGTTGCCAATCCCCGTGCACCTCACCACCCCTGAGTGGTTCTATTAACTCTGCTCAGAGTTCATTCATTAAGCTTTAATTTCCTCAATTAAACTACTTAGGTATGTCAGTTGATTCCTTTGGGGATCTTGTCTATTTTAGGAGAAGAAAAAAAAAACCCTTTCAAAGACATTGCTGCCTTAGAGGAGAGACACTATCATCAAGTCCTCAAAATTCTATAAAACTGAAAAACAAAACAAAACAAAACAAAAAACCAGAACCTTAACTTATCATGAAAACTGCACATTTCAGCTACAGCTTGAAAATATATGACTAGACAAGTCATAAGCTATCCCTGTAACAAATAGTAAGTATTTAAAAATTAAGGACTGTGGAATGGGATCTACTTAAATTTCACCTTGAAAGTCCATGAGACTCCAGACAATTTGATATCAAAAGGCTTTCTTTAGAAAACTGGTCCTTCTCAATACATTCTTTTCAAACTAAATGTGTACTTAACAATGAAATGGAAAGGTATTGAGAAATATTTTGGAGATCTGCAACTTACCTCCTTGAACTTGTGACTGAGCTTGCTTGTGTCTAGGTCTGAGGGGGAAAACATGTCCTCATTCTCAGGCAGCTCAAACACCTCAATGGCCATGTCGCTGCCAGGAAGAACAGGTCCCACCTCGTCCTCCTCTTCATCTGTGGCATATTCTCCTGTCTGAAAGGAAGGGCATTTCAGAAATCCAGCTGTCCTCACCCCAGGTAGAAGTGAGTTACTTGAAAATATTTTATGAAAGAGAAATAAAACATGTCACCAAATGGTGAAGTGTGAGTAGGCTTTGAAGTCAAGCATGCCTCATGCAGCCAAGGTTATAAGCGAATGTTAGTTCAAAGATCCAAAGTGACATGTCTATGCCGTATATCAGTGCATTCCTAAAAATCTAACAGGATCAGTAGTATTTTCACAAGAACAACAAACATTGTTTTCAGTCTAAGTATGTGATGGTTTTACGAAATAGGATTATAGGGATCCCTGGGTGGCGCAGCGGTTTGGCGCCTGCCTTTGGCCCAGGGCGCGATCCTGGAGACCCGGGATCGAATCCCACATCGGGCTTCCGGTGCATGGAGCCTGCTTCTCCCTCTGCCTGTGTCTCTGCCTCTCTCTCTCTCTGTGACTATCATAAATAAATAAAAAAAATTAAAAAAAATTCCCTAAAAAAAAAAGAAATAGGATTATATTGCTAAGGGAAATAGGTAATTCCTATAAATTCCCACCACTGTATGAATAAGTCACCCATTACTGAAAGCAGGGAAGATCCAAAGATACAGAGAGTTCGAAAAGACTCTAAAGAAGACTTACACGAAGGTTTTGTAGATGTAACTCTCCTAAATTTTAGAGTGCAATCAGCTCTCTTTTGTTTGTTGACTAATGTGTTGGTTAACTAGGGACCTGAAGATTTCCAGCTTACAGCCCACAGAGGTGTATTGCTTTGCCTGCACAAGATTTTGATAAATCTTAGTATTTCTCCAATGTTAAAGAAAAAAATCCACCGGACATTCTGGATTTCCAGTTTTTCTTGAGAAAGCCAAAGACATGAAAACAACCAGGCCAGTCAGCAGTGGTTGCATCTTTTGGATGGGTCACACGCCTTCAGAAACCCCACAACTTTTACAACTCCATATTGTTCTATGCTGTTAGCTTCACTCCTTCGCAGTACCCATGGGTCCCTGAAGGTGCATGAGTCCATGGCCCCTGGGATAAATATTCCTCCATACGACTAACCTCCTTAACATTATTAGAAAGTGGATCCTCTCCTGGCAGCACTAGGCTATGAGGCTCTAATTCAAAATAATTGTTTGAAATATATACCTTCCGATATAATTTAAAGATAAATCACTGATTCACAGGGTCAAAAAACAAAGTTCATTTAATGTGTCCCTGTTCTTTGAGGTACTATTATATATGATATATAAGACAGACAGGAATTCATATTCACTTTAAAAACACTTTCATACAGTGTGTGGAGTGATCTATTCCTTTGATTACATAGGCTTAGCATCTGCTGTTTTTTCTTTTCGTTCTGTACTATATTCTTCTTGCTAACTGAAATCCTATTTCTTTTACTGTTTTGCACGTGAAGAAAATCTGGTCATTAACCTCAATGTAATAATTCCTAGTGCCAGAAAGACCATTATTAAGTTGCCATTCTGATTTCTCCTTTTCAAGTGAAATTATTCTGGATTTCTCCTAGGTCTCATTCTCTGTCATTATCTTTGTGCTTCTGCTTGAACTTCTCTCTCCAAGTCCTCCACACTTGTTTTAAATTGTGGAGCCCAGAAGTAGGCACGATTTCCAGTAGGGAATCTGAAGGCCGTTGGCCAGGATGAAGAAACTGCCTCAGCATCCTTCAGACACTGCTTACTGACATGAAGGCCATTATCATGAAGACCTTGATTTTGGTGGCATTTGTATCTAGAAGTAAGCTCAGTGTATCTCTGTGTGAAATAGCACTGCAGTACTCGGAACCCCTCCCTGGACTCTTTAGAAACCAGTCTGAAAATGTGTAAACTCTAAACATGCTTCCAAGTGTCTCTGGCACGGTGAGGAGAAGGTAGCTGAGCAGTGAGGGCTGATGATTCTAGGTAGTTTCCACTTGTCGGTATGATTAGATCCTATAAATCATAGAAGAACCCTAATTCCAGATTTGGTATAACTTTTTGTGAAATTCTGTAAGTGAACTCACCTCCTATTTACATATATTTTTAGAACCAATAGTTACTTTGTAAATCCCAGTGGTGTTAATTAATAGAAATGCAGTAAGGCTGGTTAGGTATGCAATCTTGATACCTTGCTGAAAGTTTTCGTTTAAAGATATTAAACTGGGTGCTTGCTTTTAATCCTAATTACAACTAACAGCAAAGCCACATCTTCATTATAAAGGCCCAAACCAGGTATATAATAAAATTTACTTCTACATCATAAATTTGATGAATTTCCTGAATGACCCCATAAAATCTTAAGCTACATTTAAGTCTGATGACAATGTGGTGCATTTTAAACATAACATTGAAATGAACAATTTGATTTCCCTTTCCCAGCTTGAAAATAGGCAATTCTTCACTACGTGTAAGGGAATGAATATAAACATGTGCCTAGAATAGGTCCTGACATATAACAGGATCATAGCAAATATTTTTTAAAAACTATATCCAAGAATGCTTATGGCACTTGCTTGGCAATATCTATAAGCTCCCAAGGAAGTTTTCGATAATATATGTATATTTTTTAAAATGAACTGCAAAGGCATTTGTTAAGGAGGCAGTATTTTTTATTTTTTTTTAATATTTCTTACAGTGAATAACAGGATTAGGGTGTATACAATATATGTACAGTATATGTAGTTCTTCTCTTAGTTCTGGCTTTGTCATTCATTTTAGTTATCAAAATTACACTCATCAATATAAGTCATTAATAATTCTTGGTCTTGATTCAGTTGTTTTGTTTTTGTTTTTTTTTACTTTACCAATCTCCTCTCCTCAATAACCAAATTATCTGCAATTCTCCTGAAATTCTTTTTATCTTTCATTTCATCTCTCCACTTACTAATGTTTTTTTCTAATTAGTTTTATAAGCATACTAAGGTCAAGATATGTCTTTTAGGGTCTTGATTCTACTTAGTACTTATTAGAGGTTCTGGATAGGGTGTTTAAAAACTATCATGCCCAGGTGCCTGGGTGGCATAGTCAGTTAAGCATCAGACTCTTGGCTTTGGCTCAGGTCATGATCTCAACCCCTCAGGGTTGTGGGATTGAGCCCCAGGTCAGGCTCTGTGCTCAGCGGGGAGTCCACTTGAGATTCTCTCCCTCTGCCCCTCTCCACCATGCTTTCTGTCTTAAAAATAAACAAATATTCAATAAAAATAAAATTAAAACTATCATGCCAAGTGGAATTTAAAAAAACAAAAAAATGAACAAGGGGAATAAAGAGAGAGAGAGAGAGCAAACCAAGAAACAGACTCTTAACTACAGAGAACAAAGCAACAGTTACAGAGGGGAGATGGGCAGAAGGATGGGGGAAATAGGTGATGGAGACTAAGCATTGCACTTGTAATGAGCAATGGGTATTGTATGGAGTGCTGAATCACTATATTGTACACCTAAGCTAATATTATATGTTAACTGGAATTTAAATAAAAACTTAAAAAAACCAGGATCCCTGGATGGCGCAGCGGTTTGGCGCCTGCCTTTGGCCCAGGGCGCGATCCTGGAGACCCGGGATCAAATCCCACGTCGGGCTCCTGGTGCATGGAGCCTGCTTCTCCCTCTGCCTGTGTCTCTGCCTCTCTCTCTCTCTCTCTCTGTGACTATCATAAATAAATTAAAAAAATTAAAAAAAAGATTAAAGCTTTAAAAAAAAACTTAAAAAAAACTATCTTGCCATTCTCTCTTGCTGATCCACTCCCAACATAAACAGGCTTTATGATAAAGGATGCATTTACTACAGAACCTCATTAACATCTAGAAGCTAAAAAGTTACATTTAGTAGACTAAGAATAATGTGTTCTGATTGTCTCATCTTTACTGAAAATGGACACCACTTTTAGGGTTAATATGAAAATAAATTACATGGAATGATAGGCAGAATTTCATAAACCTCACAACTAGACTGGATTGAATCTGACATTTATATAGGGAGGTGGACAATACGGCATCAAAAAGAAAGTCTCACAACAAAGTATTTACTTTGGCATCCATTTCCTTCTCCTTATTTCTGGCCAGATTCAGTATCTTTCAAGTAAACAGAAAAATCTTTTGTCCCAACCTGAAAATCTATTTTAATTGTTCTTAGTGTAAGAACTGACAGAGATAGTAAGGGTTCCTTTTCACAACTCATCTACCTTCTTGATTAATATCTTAGACTTTTTTTTTTTTGCTTACCCAAGGGTGCAAAAAAATGAACAGCCATTCTTTTGTAACTGTACCCAACACTGCAACACTGTGTTTCTTGAAGACTGTGTGATATAGGTATTACTATTCCATTGTACTTAGAGGAAACTGAGACTCAAAGACTTTACCCAACATCAGACAATTAGTTATGTTGTTGGAGCTAACATATTCCGAAGCTCATTCTCTTTCTTCTATGCTACGCTGCTTGCAGTCTACAGAAAGTAAAGCTTTACAGGATAAAAAAATGGGAATACATTCCTTTCATATTTCCCTAACCAAAAATGCTGGTGGGTAATCTTGTTGAGTTGAAATTCACCTCCCACATCCTTGAACATTTTCATTCAATTCACTCTGAAGATTTGCACCTGTCTCTAGAGAGCTGCAAAGTTCTTGCCCTCTTTTTTTCTCTCATAAGGTGCTTACCCTGGGCAAGTGCATAGAAGTCTCCTTCAAAAGATTTGGCTTACGGGTCTGCTGACTGATGTTTCATGCACTCTTTCTCATATAAACCAGAACCATAGCATACAGTCTATAGAATTGCTGCAGTCTTAAAATGGATGGAAAAGATACTTGCAAAGCAAAATGAGTACAAAATTCCTCTAGACGTTTATGGTTGGTCTCTTTTATGTTTCCTTTGCACATCTAATTTTCTTAAGCTACCAATCTTTACTTTACTGACTCTTTCCAAACCATTTCATCTCCTTTTCATGGACACAACTTATTTCATACTCATATTATATTAGAGCACTTAGTATTTTATTAAAATACATG